TGATCTTCCTGCTTCCTGGTTCACAAGCCTGTGATCTTCCTGCTTCCTGATTCACTAGCCTGTGGTCTTCCTGCTTCCTGGTTCACTAGCCTGTGGTTTTCCTGCTTCCTGGTTCACCGGTATGTGACTACATGAGTCTCAAGAGGGACTTCGGGTCTAGCACCGGGCTCATGGAACTGGGCTGGAATGCCTTCTTGATATAAAGCTTTCTTATACCTATGAGTGTCACTGAATTTGTTTCTCTAGACAACCCAGCCTGACACACCGAGGCAGACTGCTTCATCTTTCTCTAGGGAGTGGGTGGCAATTACTAATCTTGTGTTAGCAGCCCACAGTATAATCCATGATGCCACCAGAAACTTGGATAGATCTTACATTAAAAAACAAACAAACTAAAAAAACAAAAGAAGCACTCGATGTCCTGGAGTCAATTCTTTCTCCCCCAGAGTGGCTGGTGACTTTGAACCGCACCATGTGGTTAGCAACCCAATGCCACCAGGGCTCCTTGAGCATAGTGCTCTATTAAGATCTATAAGGAGCCCTGGTGGTGTCAGGGTTTTGTTAGTTGCGATTCCGTGGTCAGCAGTTAGAAGCTACCAGCAGCTCCGCTGGAGAAAGACTGGGCTTTCCACTCCCATAAGCAGTTACAGTCTCAGAACTCACAAGGAGTTGCTACAAGTCAGCAGTGACTCGAGGCAGTGTTCGGTTTGGCTTGGAAATGTCCAAGACATACTTGAAATGGTCCATGCTCTTTTCTCCTACTAGGTCTTTGCTCAGACTGTTCTTCTTGTCTAGTAAACAACATTCCTTAGATATTGACCCAAGGACTACAGCCTGCCCTACAGCCATCTTTCTTGGGGGGGGGGGGTACTTATCTCCATATTCATTCATGTGCTAAATTAATTCCTCTCTAACCTTGAGATACTAAGTACTATGGCTACATGCACCCCTCACTGAATCTCCAGAGTCAAATACAAGTACAGTTAAAAACAAACAAATCAACCCACTGTCATTGAGTTAATTTCAACTCATAGTGACCTTATGTGATAGAACTGCTCCAAAGGGTTTCTGATGCGAGGATGTGCACTGGCACAGATAGGAACTGGAAACACAGGGAATCCAGGACAGATGAACCTCTCGGGACCAATGCTGAGAGTGGCGATACCGGGAGGGCAAAGGGAGGGTGGGGTGGAAAGGGGGAACCGATTACAGGGGTCTACATATGACCCCCTCTCTGGGGGACGGACAGCGGAGAAGTGGGTGAAGGGAGACATCAGACAGTGTAAGACATGACAAAATAATAATTTATAAATTATCAAGGGTTCATGAGGGAGGGTAGGTGGGGAGGGAGGGAGAAAAATAAGGCTGATACCAAGGGCTCAAGTGGAAAGCAAATGTTTTAAGAATGATGATGGCAACAAATGTATAAATGTGCTTGACACAATGGGTGTATGTATGGATTGTGATAAGAGTTGTATGTGCCCCCAATAAAATTATTTTTTTTTAAAAAGGGGTTCTGATGCTATAAAGTTTTATGGAAACAGATTGTCTAATCCTTCTTCCAAGGAGTGGCTGGCGACCTCACACCACTGACGGTTCAGTTACCACATCACCCAACGAACCACCATATGCCCAAATAGATTTTGTTGAATGAATACCTGAATAATGTATCTGCAACAAACTGTAGCCCAAGCAACTTATCTACAATTTATTGGTTATCTTTGCTGAAGAGGCTTTCTGTCATCATAGTTTATTTCTACTCTTCTGATTCCTTTTTTTAATCATTAAAAAAAAATGTTTTGCCAAGAACTTTGTTTTTTTCCAAATAACATTTTAATGGAGATGATTCTACTTTCTCTAACAGTAAATTGAGAAGGGTGTGTTAAGAGTTGTACAAGCACCCAATAAAATGATTTCAAAAACAACATTGAGAAGGGTGACCTTGTTTTATATTTTTGTAAATCCCTTTAAAATATGACTTGATAAAGGATCACTGGGCTTCGTATGTGAAGCATTATTTAAATATTGGTACTAGGCAATCGAGAAGGAAGCTTGGTAGCACAGTGGCTAAGTGTTTGACTGCTAACGGAAAGTCAGCAGTTCAAACCCACCAGCAGCTCGGTGTAGACCACCAGTGGCTTTTTTGTAGACCAACAAAGACTATAGCCTTGGGGTGGTTCTACGCTGTCCTACAGGGTTGCCCTAAATCAGAATCCACTGGATGGCAAAGGGTTATGCAACAGAAATACAACATGAGCCGTGTGTTCTTTAAGTATTAATCACATGGAAGATATAAATCTCATTACATGTGCTATTTAACCCAATAGATCCACCAAACCAAACCCACTGCCATTAGATCCATTCCAACTTACAGTGGCCCAAGTTACATAGTGTTTCTGAGGCTATAAATCTTTATGGATGAAGACAGTCTTATTAAAAGGCTGGTGGTTTCGAACCACTGACCTCTTGATTAGCAGTCCAATACTTACCCAAGAACATCACCAAAACTCAACATTGTTTGGTTTGATTTTTGTTTGTTACTTACCCAAGAACATCACCAAAACTCAACATTGTTTGGTTTGATTTTTGTTTGTTCCTACTAGTGTATCTCACAGGTGTTATGTCAATGGGGGTCACCCTCCTGAAGCTATGTTATATGCTTTCCTGCTTTTCGGTACATGAAACCCATGATTGAGGAACCTATATGGACAGCAGGTAGAATAAAGGTTTAGGGGGGGAGGGTAAACGGAAGACAATGTCAAGGAGTCCATGTAGAAAAAGAATGATTGGAAAAGGATGTGGTAGCAATTGTGTGATTGAAAGAAGATAGAATGATCTATGTATTAAATCCCAACTAAGAAAATATAGTATTTTAACACGCCATCAATATAAACGTTATTAAAGAGGTATTTTACATTCTTCCTTTGTATTCAGTCATCAAACTTCGGTGGGCATTTTATAGTTACAGTTCTTCTCCATGTGAGCCCATGGCAAGCACTCAGGACCCACCCGCCGGATTCTGTCTCTGTGGAGGGCAGTGCCTCTCTCCAGCTTTCGGCCATCCTCAGCACCTGTAATTAGCGACAAAGGAAGGCGTCCCCAAGCTAAACTTACATTGAGAACGGATTATTTAAGCCAGATACGGATAAGCACTAACTCCTTCAGGAGTTCTTGGGACATGACTGGTGAGTCCTTTGGGCCTCCCTGCAGCATCTTTTTCTTTTCCTGAAACGAAGATTTTGCTCTTCCGGCGGAGGAGGCCTTGCCTCCTTTGCAAGGGCTTCTAGGTTTCCTCCTTGGAAGGGAGCTTTGACGTTATGAGCTTTGGGGTCATTTAGGGCAAGAGTTCCAGAGGCTGCCTAGAAACGCTGGCTGCTTCCTTAACGTCGGCCTCTCCTCCGGGCCCCAGGGTGACAGGCCACACACACTCCATCGTCTCAAGAGAAGCAGATGTCCCTCCATCGGCACTGTGCCCACACAACGGTTTTGCTTTTAAAATGGGTCTTCCTGTCCTGGTGGCGTAGCGGTTGCGTTGGGCTGCGAGCCTCGAGGTCGGCAGTTCGAAACCACAAGCCGTTCCGAACGAACAAGACGTGGCTTTCTACTCCCCTCAGCCTAAGGAGTCACCGTCTCAGAAACCGACTGCGGTCGTTCCGCCCCGTCCCGTAGCGTCGCTCCCCGTCGGAATCGACTGGACGGCCAAGAGCTTGGTTTTCTTTAGCCCAGGGCCACCAGTTTCAGCCACGAGCAGCAGCCGGCGCGAAACCACGCGGCCTCCCAGCCCTCAACCCCACGACCGCCCCCATTGGCCGAAGGGGAAGAGGCGGGACTTCCGTTCCGGCCGAGCCACTTCCGGAAGTGACGTCGGAGTGTCAACATGCAAGATGGCGGCCCATCACCGGCAGAACACGGCAGGTCGGAGGAAAGTACAGGTACGAGAGTCCGGCTCCCC